CCCTGCACAAGCCACATACCCTGTCAACTGTCCCTTTTTAATTTTTATTTTGCATTGTGCAAGTTCTAAACAGGAATACGAGAGGATCAGGGAATCTGTGTGCAAACATTGCCTGTTTAATTTAGCAAAGTAAAAGTTGGTGAGAAAGCTAGTTTTAGAGCTTGTTTTCCTTTGACTGCAACATATAAAACTTGTTTTCAGAAGGAAGTGTAACCCTTGTGGCTTTGTTTCTAGAACTCTTTGTCTCTATTGCCTAATACAGGATAGGTTACAATAGCCTAAGGGGATGAGAGACTAGAACTTGGAGTGGGGACTGGACATCTTAGCTTGAAATGCAGGCAGTTGTAGTCCCCAAAAGTAATTTTTCCAAGCTCTGTGGGGGCCTTGGGTGCATGTAGTCTACAACCTGATTGTATAGTTGATACTCTATTTACAAAGCAATTTCAGTGCTTAAAGTAAAGCAATTTAATGCCCCAGTGAAAATCTGCAGAGCTGCATGTTCCGTGAGATGGAGGCAGGAAAGAAGGCTACCTTTTACAGTAAATGTGTATGTAAATTACAAAAGTGTACATTGCCAAACCCCTTTCCCAAGATAACAACAATAAACAGCTATTGAATAATAAACAGCAAAGGCAGAAGTGAGGAGAAACAACATGGGGAGCAGGGGCTAGGGATACGGCTGGGCCATGGCAAATAGAGGTCACCTGTCTCCAATTTCTCTGGTTGGTCTGTCAAGAAACCAACTTTTTAGTCAGTTTGGACGCTCAACTCTAATGTTCCCAGAGAGTTTTCTGAGGGACAGATGGCAGTATCTGCTGAGAAGGGATATTTTTTATGTGTGAGAAAAGGATACCTACAAAAAAAAAATTTGTAGGTATTTTGAACAAGAAGGATTTTGAATAAGCTTTGCTGCATACACCGAGGGGTTAGGGTCTACCACATTCTTGCTCAAAGCAACTTTCAAGAGATTTCTGGGATGGGGGAGACCCAGAAATTCCTTTTGCTTCACTGATCTGTCAGGACATTCAAACCAGTGATCCTCACACCCTCACTAATATTGCCAGGTTGATAATGCCTGAGCCAGGCATCGGCATGCTGTTCTCTGGGTACCCCTGTTGTGCTCTGTAGGGCAACAGCCAGCAACTGACCTACTGAAACAGCCAACCAGGCAGTAGAATTGTTCTCAGCCAGTATATAGACTGCAGGTTGGTAGGTCTTCCCCCAAGCAGAGTCAACTCTTCCTTTCACAGTGCAACAAGGGAGGAGGGTCAAACATTCTCCCTGCCATTTAATTTTAGATCTCTTGGAATGACATCCGATCATGCAGGCTCCACCTAATATCAGCCCACTATTGCAGGATGGATCCTTCCAGAGGATCTTGGCCAGGCCTCCCTGAAACCTGGAGGCACCTCTGATTGCCAGCTTTTCTTTTTGTGTAGACAGCCTCGAACAGAGGGGTTTCCAAGTCACTGGTACAATAAGGGAGCAGAGACCAGATCTGCCAGAACACAGGCAGAAAGTAGCTGAGAGCAGTTGAAGGGGTTAACCTCACCTGGCCTCACTTGTGCTCTTTACTCTAGAGCTCTTGGCTTTGCGCAGCAAAGGATAATGCATGAAAATGAACAGGATTTGTAGGTATCCTGGAAAAAGCAATAAGAGCAGAGCAACCTCTTATTGACATTGTGCTGACTGAATGAAGAGGTGAGCACATCCTGTGAGTCCCCATGTTCTAGGGCAGCTCCAATGGGCCAACTCAGACCACAAGATTTTGCACATGCACACATAGCAAAAAGAAAGAAAGAAAGAAAGAAAGAAAGAAAGAAAGAAAGAAAGAAGAAGAAGAAGAAGAAGAAGAAGAAGAAGAAGAAGAAGAAGAAGAAGAAGAAGAAGAAGAAGAAGAAGAAGAAGAAGAAGAAGAAGACGACGACGACGACGACGACCCTGGAGAGTAATGCTTTTTCAGTTTGTTTACACAGGAGGGCTTGATATATTTATAAATAATTGCTACACAGAATGAAACAGTCTGACGTATAAAAGAGCAGAGGGGGAGACACAGAAAAAACTGCTGCAGCCTTGATGTCTTGCAAATGTGACAATTTTTTCAACTAAAATGTTTAGAACAGAATTTTCATCGGATTGGATTCAGTTTCTCCCGATAATCTTTAGTCAAACAAGTTCCAGCAAGGCTGTAATGAGGTTCTCTGTCCTCTCTGTCACTAGACACAAGACTGTAGTTAGCAAAACCCTGAGTGTTTTGAATATATTGCATACTATTGCTAATGAAATCATAAAGAACAGACTTTTTTCTTCTTCAAAACTTTGAGGCACACTGGAAGTATTATCATCCTTCCTCCAAATCCTAAACTAATAATATCTAAAATAAACAGCAAGATAATGACTTCCCTTTTGTATCTTGGTCACAATCCTAAACCCTTCTGTACTTGTATATTACACTGAGATCAATGAATGGGAGTAGATTTGAGAGGAAGTCCTTCCTTATCCCTTGCTGTTAGTCATCCTGATGGAGGGTCCCATGGGTTGGTGGTAGGGAACCTGTTTTTACACAGGCGAAAGGGGACTGGATTCAGGTAGCAATGTCCTGGGAGAGCCATGGAAAGTCAGGAGAGACCATCGGATGGACCTGTGGTCTCTATAAGTCTAAGGAAACTTCATGTGAGTGGTCCAACCCCAGTCAGTCATGCAAGGACAGGAATCCCCACCATGTTCAATTATTGTGAATGTTTGCCCTTATTAGCTCTTTGGTGTAATTTCTTGGACCAGCGGCTAATTCGTTATGCACGCCTTGAAGCAACTGCATTGCTGCTGCTGGTGTGCTTGGGACAGCCCTCATTTAGAGCTAAGGTTCTAATGCCGTCTTCATTGCAGCCTCATACTGCTCATGAAAGGGAAGAAAAATCTAGTTCCCACGGAGAGACCACAGTGTTTCTTGAGTAATTTCATAACACAAGGTAACACGGTTGTTCAGAATAGATTTTACACCTCCTTTATAAACACCCATTCCTATCTAATTGTAAATCAATTCCTATTGCTAATTATATTCCTAGTGAGAAGAATGAATGCATTTTTAATGCAATTACTACTCCTTCTAGATGTACTGGATGCTTTTCGCTGCAAACAATTGGTGCCTGTGGAAAGAATCTAGAATGTGAACTTCTCTGAGTAGCTTACCCTGCAAATCTCCTTGGATTCTGCTATGGATAAGCAATGCCCTGTTTTTCCCCCAAATGTAAACATGTGTGGGAAATCACTGTCAGAAAATTGGTCTGTTGTTTCTGTGAACCCACACTGAAAAGCCTAACCTAGCTGAAAGGTGAAGTCTGAAACCAATGCCCATAAAATACTGAAATAACTAGATTTTGACCTGTTTTTTTATAGAGTAGGTGGCAGTACAGTGGAGTGAGTGTCAAACACTTAAGAACTGAAGTGTATGTACCTAGGAACTGCTTTTTAATTACAAATATATTGTTTTCCTTTGACATTTCATATACAGCACATATTTGCTTTTCTGTGCTTCTTTCTTAAATGATCTGGCAAAACGGAATTATTGCAAGAAGGAAGACTGTAGTTAAGACACCTTTGGAATGTAGAGAGGATTCTACCTGTTGTAAACAGCATTTGGGGGATTATGGAGTTTGTTTTACAGTGCTACAGTCAACTGCCTTCATATTTACAGTAATAAAAAATGTAGAACATGATACAAAGAAAAGCACCTGAATGTGTAATGTACATCATCAGAACCACCCAAGCCAACACTAATTAATTCTCCCCCTCTCTTTTTGTTTTTCAAACTCCCAACATTCACGTTGGCTCCTTCCCACTCCATCCACCCCCACACAATTTAGAAAACTGTCTAAAGCCATTTCTTGTTAAAGCATAGACCCACTGGTTATGATTACTACAGCCACTGGCCTGGGATGCAGGCACGCCTTAAAATATGCTCTGGTCAGTTCACTGGAACTCAGAGTTTATTTGAAAGACGCCTCAGTACCAGTATTGCATGCGGAAGGTTACTTATGGACAAAAATCTCACTTCTTAGGTCAAGCGGTTCCTTTTTGAAATGGTCACAGCAACTCCTTGCTCGCAGATAGCCACTGCAAGATACAGATAGAGTTGTCAGGTCCCAGTGTGGATAAAGGAGATGCTAGCTGACCACAAAAACTGTGCTAGCCAAGGAAACAGGAAGCATTGTCTGGGAACCACTGACACACTTGGTGGGGGAAAGGAGGACATTCTCCTATTTATGTCCAGTCAGACAGTACACAAGGCTGAGGGCGAGGGAGAAGATCAAAGTACTGTCCAGCTAAAATACCAGGTTTGTAACACTTTCTAGATGCAGGTTTTATGGGGTTTTTAGTTGTGATTTTGTTTCATACTTACTGTCCATATGCTCTAGCTATATGGAATAAAGTATGGACGTGTTCTGCTTTTAAGCGGTGTATTCTACTAGGAACTGGAAGTCCCCAAAGCATACAAGTACCTTGAGAATGTTTTGACGAAGCTGGATATGCAGTTCCTCTAAGTTTTAAAAAACAACAACAGTACAAGTGTAATAGACAGGCAGTGCAGAGGCTGAAAGATGCGGGGAAACAACCTCTAAGAAGCTCTCCTGCACAAACCGTCCAGTAGGTCAACTCCAGGACAGCAAATCCCTGGAGCCCTGCAAATGAAAAGGTACAATTCTCCCAACTTTTATACTCTCCACATGTGTTGGTCTACCATTCCTATTTCCCTCCGGCAGCACTGGGCATGCTTTTTGGTGGTTGGGAATGATATAGGTTGTAGTCCAAAATATGTGGAGAGTGCCCCATTGATAACAGTGGCTGTGATGCCTTGAAACTTCACCTCTACCGTTTTGTACTTAAATGGTTCCCCTATGGAAATGCATTTTCCTCTCTTCTGGGAAGGGGGAATGATAAAGGCATCTAGTTCATTATTGTTGTTTTCATCTCCCCCTCCCTCCCACCCACCCCCATTTTTTTTTAAAAAAAGTATCAAAATCTGTACAAAAACTTTTTGCAACAGGAAGCTGGTGGTGACAGAATCATCTCAGTATGAAGCGACACGAAGGGGGGAAAAACAATAAAAGCAACTCAATGAACTAGTGAAGGACACGCCATATACGGTCCTGTTTCCCCAACCGTGAAACCAAAGTATCTGAGCACAAAGTCCAACCTTGGTTTCCTTCTCGATGCGGCTCTGAGTGCAAACGTGTTTACCGAGTGAAGCTGCAGGAGGGTGTGTCTTCATGGTACTCACTGTGTTACATAAATACATATCCCTGAGAAAGATGAGAAGAGGTGGCAGAAAAATGAATTCCGACCCGGTGGAATCAGCTGCCCAGGCATTCCTGTTTTGCAATCTCTTTCTACAAAAGTCAATTTGAGACCTGAGCAGAAGTCTTTTAAAAAATAGATAGACAGATATATCTCGAAATTACTAAGAAAAACATCATCTTAAGGCTTTGAGGAACAACAACAGAAAATCTTGATCAAGAATAAATTGCTGGCCATTCAATGTGAGTACATTGTAGGAGCTTAGTTCAGCTGTGCCAAAACATTTTCTGCTGTCCAGATACAGGGAGACAAAGGGCTACATAGTTTTTTTGTTTTCCTTAAAAAAATTTTTTTTAAAAAAAGCAAAGTGTGCAATGCAAAAAACTCCAAATTACAGATACAGGTATACATTGATGGGAGCAAAGTGCTGGCCTCCAGTGCAGGCAGATTTAAGGGGAGCTGGCAGGGCTGATAGTGGGACTAGATGCATCTGAACGGCTGTAGTCACTCACAGAACCCGTCCTGGAGCTGCTTCCACTCCTCCGCTTGAGCATGCTTGGGTGGAAATTGGTGTGCCGTCGAGCATGCTTCGTCAGATGGTCACTGCGCATGAAGCGCTTCTCGCACAGTGGGCAGCCAAACTTTTTCTCCCCCGTGTGAGTGCGGTAGTGGCGCGCCAGCTCATCCGAACGGGCAAACTTCTTGTTGCATTCTTCCCAGCGGCATTCAAAAGGCCTCTCACCTATGGAGAGAAAAGTAGTGGGTGAGACAATCTCATTCACTTCATCATTTTTTTTAAAAAAAAATACTTTATCATTTATTTTATCTTTTTTTTAAAAAAAATCATAGTTTATCAAACTTGAGGGAACTTCTGAACTATGCTTTTATTGTGGCCTTGTGGGGGATCCAGGCACCATTTTTCCATTCAAAACTCTCTCTCTCTCTCTCTCTCTCTTGAAACACTCTACTCTTCGTTTCTTCTGTCCATGAACTGTAAAAGACAGAAGAGGTGTGCTGCTTTTTGATTGTGAGTCAAAGTGTCCTCAGTGTTGCACAGAAATCATAAGCAGTAAGCAATCAGTGCAACCCTCCCAAAAAAAGTTAATCTGAATGGTTTTGGTGGCAAAGTCTTTTTTTTTGTTTGTTTGTTGTTGGTTTGTTTTAACTTGGTTGTGTAATCCAGTGGTTCCCAGCCTTGGGTAACCTGGGTGTTCTCGGACTGTGATTCATGAAGCCTTCACCACCAGCTGTGCTGGCAAAGGTCTCTGGGAATTTCAGTCCAAGAACTCTTGGGTTACTCAAGGTTGGCAACTCCGTAGTAGGGTGTTCTACTGGTTAATGAGTTGATGATTAGAACAAAGAGAGCACATGCTATTTGAATTTAAACTACATAGGCACTTGTTTTGTGTTACTTTCAGTTTTTAAATCATATGCTCCTCCACATCTCTGCTTCCAAGCCTGTGACAATCTAAAATATCTCCCTTGCTTTCCCTCATGTCCCATTGTTTCACTATTTAATTTCTTAGCCGAACTGCCTGTTTCTATGGAGCTTCTCATTGCAGAGAAGGACAAATAATAAACACAATTTGTGCATTGGACTTATGGCAGGTTTCATGGGTTTTGACATAGAGATGAATGAGGAGGTATGATAAGGTTGTTGGCCCCTTTCTGTCCCTCAAGTTGTATCCGACGTGCCCTTTTTAAATTAATATATCAGGCACCAGACCGTTTCCATCAAATCAGATCTTGGAAACTGGAGAAACAGTGCCAAGTCTTAATAATGCCAAATGAATTCAAATTCATCAAGTCACTGCTACCAGTAAGGCAGCAAGATAAAAATAAATAAATGGAATATTAATGAGGCCAGCTTGGCTGCTCTTGCTTAGCCATACAGCTCCCACTTCCTCCTTCCATCTGTCAAGTCAATGCAAACTGTAGCATCCAGTGAGGGTACATGAATCAAGTATTTGTTCCAAGGAGGCAGATGCGTCTTCAACAGCTCCTAAGGACCAGGTATTCCTTTCATATGCTCTGTTTCCATCTCTGGATCAAAACCTATAGCCAGATCTTTCTGCTTCGTGGTAATCAGTTGCAATATGTAGCAATACCTGTTTATGTTGGCAAAGAAGCATTTCCAGTTTAGTTTTGACAGCAAAAAGAAAAAAAAATGTATTCGAAACAGTCAGTCAAAGAGCCAGAATAGGGCTCTTGGATTTAATACATTTATTAAGAAGGGCTCAAGTGTCAAAAAGTGAGAAGCAAGCTTTCTGCCTCCTAAAACCTTTCTTTAAGCTGACTGTTAAGAAAGCAATGAGGGTAGGGAGAAATGACCTAAGTGTGATGAAGAGCAAAGCAGGGTCGCACTGGTTGATCAGTTTGTTCCTAATGGAAAGCACTGTTATAATATTGATTCGGTTTTTTTTAAAAAAATAGACTATTTTGGCTATATAGGATTTTCATTTATAACGTGAAAGGACAGAAATGCATCCTCCGTCGCCCTTCCCAAGATTCAGGTGAAATCGCCTGTATTAAAGAAGGCAGTCAAAGCCTTTGAAAGTTAATTTCAGGTGGTTGGTAGGTCCTACTGCCTTCCTTTTACTTTTTTGTGTCTGATGTGCATATGTAGAATAGTAAGACTATACTTCCACCTTTCCATTCATTCAAGCATCTAAGTGGGAAAAGTTAAGGGAAAGCTGGGCTTTTTCTCCCAGATGGAAAACTGCTCATGGGAACTTCTAATCATTTTATAAACTGTGCTAAGAACTAGATTTGCATGTGTTTTTACAGCAACCATGAGGAATTGCCCCTGACTCTCCCAATGGCAGGTGTCAGATTTCTTAGCTCTTCCCTGAGTCATTTGCTCTTCCCTGCCTATTTGCCCTCAGTTGTCCCTCTCTCAATCTAGGAAATCAATGTCACACCCCACCTGCTGTCTCTGCCCCGACCATCTGCTGGTTCCTGGAGTTGACATTTGACTTTGTCCTCAGTTCTAATGCATCATCTCCCAACATAGGGTGTAGACGGTTACTGACTCTCAGCTGCTGTATTTTTCATAGAGAAACTTGGGGCTGGTAGGTATCTTAACCATATGACAGAAGACTCATGCTGTAGTGAATCATGCGATGTGGATTAGATGTTTGTATTGCAGACCACCAGAGAGAGAGAGAGAGAGAGAGAGAACTTTGACTATTTCAAGTAAAGCTCGGAAAAGTTACTTCTTGGATTCACAGGACACATAATTTGCCAGCTAGGAGGTCAGATAAACTTATGAGTTGTAGTCCAAAAAAGTAACTTTTCAAACCTTTGAGTGCTTATTATGAACAAGCACTTCTGCTTTAGAAAATGTTGAGTGTTGTATTTCCAGGAACCAGGAAGAATGACTGATGCAACATGCAGAGTATGGAAATTGTACTTTTGGGGAGTCCCAGAATTCCACAGGCAACATGGCTTGTCATCAAGGTGGCTGGGGCATTTTCATGTGCCCTGCCACATGGTACCACCTATATGGAAACTCCCACCATCTTTGTCTCTCACATTGGATTTGAAGGGTGGGGATGCAGTTTTCACAGCAGGTGAGATTCTACATAGTACTCTGTTATGGCAGGAAAGAGAGCAGTTGAGAGAAGCAGAGATTATAAGAACTGATTGCCTCATATTAATTAGGGAACTAGCAGTGTGGCAAAGGTTTCTTGCATCAGACTGAATGATGCAGAAGTTTTCTGTAACAAAACAGCTGTTCCTGTCTGTTGCAAAGCAATGTGTAAAGGGCTTGTGAAGGCTGAATATAAAATTGTGCCATACTGTACTTCGTTGGAAACCATCAGAATGGAATCATGGAATCACCTATTACTGGAAATGTGTATTTTTTTGCTCTTATGATGTGTTCCCTCTAGGCATGCAGTTCCTTCAAAACTGTGTAGCTGATCAATCACACTTGCAAATAAAACCATTTTTTAAATTTCCCAATTATTAGTCACAAAACAAAAGAAGCTAACTGGCAACATATGGAATGAACCAAGCATTTGCTCAGAGAAAATTATGCATTTTCCTTCTTAAGGGAGCTCAGTTTCTAATGATGTACTAATTAGATCAACTAGTCTGAGCCTCTGTTCTCGCCATTGGATCATAATTTTCACTTCTGGAAGCAGGCATTTCTAAAAGCAGGTTTTGCACCTGCATAAACACCCATCAGACACCGCAAACTTACAGGGACCCATAGAAAATGAACACAAAGCTCCCTGCTTGCATCCTGTCTCAGTGGCAGTTTCTCCATAGGAATCAGTAGTTCCTGTCTTCTGTTCAGAGACAATGAATTTAGAAGTCTTTCTTAGTTCAGAATAAACTTCTTTCTATTCCTGTTACCTCATCAAACCTGTGCTGCAATCATTGGACGACTGTGGCCTTCGGCTAGGTGTTTTGCATTGGCCACAGAAGAAGGAACACAATGTGCTAGATTATCTTAAGAACAAGTACATACAGGAGATTTTCAAGATTATTTCCAAGGAGGTGACTGAATGTTACGTAACCCAAGACAAAAAAAAAAGATGAGTTTGAACCAAAATAAATTGTTTTAATGCTGTTTGGGCTATTTGTTTTATGTATGGAAACCTCTGTAAACTCCTACACAGTCACCTCATTAAGATATCCCTGATCTCTTGAAGGCTATGTCAGTGGAACACAAACTCCAGCAGGTTCTAAGATAGGAGGGCTTTGAGTACAGCTCTAGTGTTAGTCTGCATGTCTGCCACCCAAGGACCTGCCAGGTAAATGCAGAGGCTCCTTACCAGAAGATTGGCCACCAGCTGAAAAATTGGCTCCAGCGGCTTATAAAGCAACAGTGATGTGAAATCAGTGGAAACCTGGACTATGCTCATGGAGGAAACCAGGCATCTTTGAGATATTCCAAGTATTTGAACCCAGTACTTCCTGTCCTTGCAGAATTTCTGTAGCACGCTGTCCCTGACATTGTCTGTCATCTTGGTCCTTGGTCACATACGCCTAGTCCTTTTTACACAACCTGTTTTTTTTTTCTTCCATCAGTGCATCTATCCACTTTCCAATTGCATCATCTTCTCCTAATGATACATAGTATGTTCAGCTACATGCTGGTCCCTCACTCTTCTCAATTTGAAGTAGGAGAGACAGACAAAACAAAGCCCCCATCCATGAAGACTATTGCACGAAGCACCTACTGCACAGGAGTTATGCTGGGATGAGGGGAGAGGCAGATCCTCCACCATGTGAATCAGGGGACCGGCCCACTGACTTTATAAACCAGGCTTGTTTATTCTGTGTCATGACCACATAAAAGAGCAGCAGAATATTCTTTCTCCAGAGGAAAAGAGCGGTTGGGCTCTTTCCAAGACAGACTGAGCATACATGATTCTTTGGGGTGGAACTGTGGTTGTTGCCTGACTGATCAAACCAGAAGTGTATTTTTAAACAAAGCATCCTTAAATAACACTTGGTGAGTTTTGAGAAAATATTTCCACTTCCACTGTTTTTATACAGGCACTTCAAACTGACCAAAAAGCCATACCTCGAACCATCCTCAAGGCAACAGACCCATTAAAGCTGTTGCTTTGACTACATAAAAGGTGCTTTTTCCGCAGAATGCAGAAGAGAAATCAAACAAGACCTCTCCATCCCCTCTTTCTTCAAACTGAAAGCAGTGCTATATTTAGCTCTGCAATTTATTTATTCCCCTTAACATTTTCATTTCATTTGGTGTTTCCTCCTCCA